GCTGATATCTGTTGTGAAGAAATGCGAAGGCTTTGTATGCAAACCAGTTTGGGCGTCCATTTCGTCAGCTCCAGATCCTGATTTTCCGGCAGCAGTAAGCTTCTGACACACGAGCACGAGTAATGTGGACGGACCTTTAAAGTGCCGAAGTCAAGAAAGTTTGAGCTATAGATCCACTCGTCCGTACGTGTTCATGGTGTGGTCCTTTCTTAAGTAGGGACAGGTTCAACTTTACCTTTTCACCTCTTATGAAGTTGGATGCAGGTTTCGGCAGCGTAACGTACGTAGCAAGTTTGAGGATAACTCATTAGAAAGGTCGAATGAGGCTTAATGGAGGACGGTACGCACCCACACGCGGAAAAGTTACGATAACCCGGACTTTCTTTAGAGAGGAAATGAGATGAAATAAAGATACATTTCGGAATATAAAATACTTGCTTCTTCGCTGTAAGCCTATGCCATTTTCTTATTGTGTAGGTCTATTTAACGAAATACGAAGAAGTGAACCTTATGAGTTCATGCTCATTAGCTGTGTCTGCATGAAGCTCTGCTGATGCACGTAGCCTTGGGCGTTCCGTATAACTGTCCAGCACTTTGTCGCGAAACTTTGCCAAAAGATTTTCTTTCAGTCTCTCTTCATTTGTTGGAAAAAAATGAAATGGGCCTGTCAAAGTCACTGAACGGTCGATTTACCTGGGACTTCTTACCACTGCAATAGCGTTAGACATTTTCTACATTGGTACCTTTTAATTTTCTTCGCTAACAGGACTCACACTGGTGGTTAGGAAGAGTTGTATCTTTTGGGATATGACGTCTTGTAGTCCGTTGATATCCGGCGATTTGGAGGAATATTTCGCCTCTATCTTCAGATTGAAGAGCGAGCAAAGCAAGAAACCTCTAGGCCTATGAATTAGGCACTAAACAGAGACTTATGCTGGTTTTTTTTTGGTTCACTCTTCAACCTTGGAGATGGATGTGAAATGTTTCTCCGAAACGTCAGTTGAATTGAAGCGGACTATACGGTTTTATATCCCAGACGAAAGAACTCTTCAGTACCATTCAGATTTCTACGAGGCCCCAAAAAAATAATGCAGGATCTGGCAGTGCTGTGATTTCGTAAATCTCCACGTGATTTCTGGAATAACATTTTTCATGTCTCTTCCCAGGCATATTTTAAGATTCTGTGAGTATCACAGACTGCAGGTATGGCATCGAATAGTAGAATGACTTCAAAATGAATTTGTAAGGAAGCGGTCGAGGCCTACTCGAAGTTTGAGGACTGAGGAAAACAACGAAGCGCCTCAGACAGGATAGCCGGTGTCTCCATCGAGACGGGGATCGACCATCGAAGGCCTCTGTACTCGGGACACCAAAAACTCGAAGAAAATATCAATCTCCATGGCCTATAGTGCGCAAGCAAAATATTCCGACCGAGCGACCGCCTCTTGTCGGCGAAGTTAGTGCCAACTTTTGCGGATAGATGGCGTCACGTGGTTAGCGCAACGGATCCCCACGGCCCTTATTCTCGGCTTTCTAGACCGGAAGACTACGTACATGACATATTCGCTAAATAGCCAGCTACAGGAAGTCCTGCCGCTTGCCCTGTTAAGGATTTAGAAAACGTATGTAATAGAAGTTGAGACATTACTTTGGTTGTAAAGCTGTGAAGAAGATGAAGGCGAAGAAGAAATGGACTAATAATAATAATAATAATAACAACAACAACAATAATAATAATAACAAAACAACAGAAACACCAATAACAACAAAACAGTAACATCAGCTTAAAAAAATAGAACAACTAAGGGCTTTGCATCGCTACTCACAATCCAGTCAATATTCAGTGTAATAATGATATTCGTCTCCATAGATAAAAACGTAATATGACATCCGCTCCACGCCAGTTGCAGCAAGTTGCGGGGAGCGCCGATGGAGGCGCCTCTTGACGGCTTGCATGTGATGTAGGAATAACATAACATTTCAGTTTGAACGTCTCTCTTTTAAGTTAACAAGTTTAGAAATGTTATGTTTGAGAATTCTACAGCTGTAGGCCAATGGCCGAATAATTTTTCGGCCGGTGGCAATGATGAAGCAAGTTTGGCTAGAGCATTGCTGTATGTAACAACTGCGGAGACTTCCCGTTGGGTTGGCAATAAGCCTTTCCCACTAGTGTTATAAAGTACAGCTCTTCTAAGAAAGAATATCTTCGTGAAAATGACGACAGCAGACGGCTGAGAGAATACTCTCGGTAGATCCTCCTACGGGAAGAACCAATAGTACCTATAACTATCGTGTGGGCACTCAAAATCTCAGGCACCACCATTATGATTTTATTGTATAGAGTAGATTTTCCCAAACTCGTGGTCCACGGACGTCCAGTGGTCCGCGAAAAAAAAATCATGTATTCTACCTTCATTTTCAATGTGCAAGTAACTTCAGTTTGTCACACTGAATGCTTGTGAGTTAAGGTTCTTTTTATTTATGCAAGAATAAACATGTGATCTTAATTTTCATTCTAAATATCATGATTATAAATATTTACTGAATTTAAGTCATATGCCATTCAAAAAAAAGAAAACAAACTCCGTGGTCTGTAGCCCGCAAGTGAACTATAGCGACCGCCGCTTGTCGGCGGGGTTAGTGCCAAATTTAGCGGATAGAGGGTGTCGCGTGGTCATCGCAACGGATCCCCATGACCGTTGATTTCGGGTTTCTAGACCGGAGCCGCTATTTCCTTGAAATAGCTCAATTATACTCACGAGGCTGAGTGGACCCCGTTCCAGAACCACTACTTCTCAGAAAATCTGGTAACGCCGGGAATCGAACCCGGACCTCTGGATCTGTAGCCAGGAACGCTGACCACTAGACCACAGAGGCGGTCCATATGCCATTCAGAATTCTCAAAATATATTATTTAATATTCGAATGCTCCACTAAAGAAAATTCACGCACGAGGTGGTCGATGGAGGAAAAAGTGTTTGGAAATCCTATGCATAGAGACCTAATTTCAAGTGCCTGGTTTCGGTTTTCATCATTTGTCACGTGAAGCCAAGACGGTATCACAAACCTGTTTTTGCTCATAGCGTGACAGTTAACATTGCTGTGTTGCAGGTAAGACTATGCAGCGGTCGGGCAGGTTGCATCTGAGGGAAGTGAATCAGCATCTGGTGTGTGTCTTGTGCGGGGGCTACTATATAGACGCCACGACTATCGTCGAGTGCCTCCACTCCTGTAAGTACGCCTACCGTCGCTTCGGCGACGGCCAAATTATTTGATATACTTCTGTGACACGGATTACATTTTTTGACTTGTTCCAACTCCGGCTTACCTAATTGCTGTAGCCATTTTTGTGTCTTTTGGTTTGTGCTTAGTAGTCCTGTGTTTTGTACGTCTTTCATCCTCGTCTCTTCAAATGTCATCAGGCCATTTGTGTCTGGTCTGTAATTCCATCCTCTTATTCAATTATAAGATATTTTATCTTTTTTTTGTGTGTCTACTTTTGCTGTTTGTCAAAGAGCCTTACATCTTCCAAGTGGTTAAGGAACCCTATTTCAGAAAGCTGAAATCTATTTTTACCAGTTTCTTTCATCAACCTGATTTCACATCCATACAAACTGGCATAAACTTACATTTTTATAAGAGTAGACAGCCTCTGTGGTCTAGTGGTCAAAGTTCCTGGCTACAGATCCAGAGGTCCCGGGTTCGATTCCCGGCGCTACTAGATTTTCTGCGAAGTAGTGGGTCTGGAACGGGATCCATTTAGCCTCGTGAGGATGATTGAGGAGTTATTTCAAGGAAATAGCGGCTCCGGTCTAGAAACCGAGATTAACGGCCGTGGAGATCCGTTGCACTAACCACGCGACACTCTCTATCTGCTAAATCTAGCACTAACTTCGCCGACAAGCGGCGGTCGCTCGGTCGGTATAGTTCGCTTGCGGACTACAGGCCACGGATTTTGTTTTCTGTCTCTGTTTTCGAGTTATGGTGCTACACGCTACATGAAAGCATACAGCGATATTTTGTTACTGCGCATACTTTCCCTATATAAAGTAGGAGGACATTGGCCTTGCCATAACTTAGGCGGTTAGTCGCCGGCTTTCCGCCGCGGCGGCCTGGGTTCAAACCCAGGCCAGTAGTGGACCAAGTGGTACTGGGGTAAGCTTTCTGTGAGTACTCCGATTTCCCTTGCCAATTTTCATTCCACCATCAGTTCCATGTTCATTAATCATCCTACCATCTACGGTATACAGTCCTAATACAGCATCGATAAATAACCAATATAAAAATAATATAGGCTATTCGTGTGCTAGTTTGCGGCCTACACATTTAAAGGTTGAGCCAAGTTGTATATTTTTTGTTTTAATAATTTATGATTTAATAGAAAATTGTCTGTTAAAATCTGCGTAGTAAATGGCGGAAATATCACTGTCATATCGATTAGATGTAATGTAATTGTCACGAGTATGAGTGACTGTAGACGGGGTTTGGATTGGTGATTCGTTTTATTGACCACTTTAACAAATGAGTAATAACTACAAGTAATTATAATGCTATGGCCAATATCCACATTTCACAAATCAATAGAGCACACGCTAAACCTTCTCAGTCTGCCTTCACTAGCCGTTTCCCGGTAACGGATCTTAACATTCAGCTTCTGTGCTCACGTCGATACTGTCCGGCGAATATCCTACAACTGAACTCGTGCTCCAGTTGACTAACTCCCAGGCTGACGGCCGTCACACACCAATCTCCTATTCTTCACAGAGGGACTTATAACTGACCTCTTCTAAACTTGTCTCGGTTATAAGACCTCGGCACGGACTTCGTAGGAAATACTGTTTCTTACAATTACAACCCATTTATTTCTCTCTCGCTATCTGGTAGCGGGTCTGCACGTTACGTTATGAACACAGTTAGTACACCATCTTCTTTCTAACGCGTTATATGTATACAGTGAGTATTCTAGGAGCCTAAATAGCTCAGTCAGTACAGTGACTTGGTTACGTGCTGTGTGACCAGCGTTTCATGGACGTGTGGTGGGGAGAAGGGTTGCTCTAATGCATGAAGAATCACTCAGATACCTATTCAAAGGATGCAACGTGAGCAGAGCGTGAAGCTGACCATTCACCACCATCTAATGCAGATATCACGATTGCATGGAGCTACACCTCCATTCCGCAATACATGTTCATGACTTGCTACTAAATGATACGGAAACTCAGTCGATAAGCCCTACAGTTTATTCTAAGCAAACACGGGAGCGAAGAAAGGGCAACCCTGGTTTTTCGTAACTAAGGTTTTTAAGGTACGTGGCAGCTCTGTGTCCTTCCATTTTGTTCTGTGCGGTCCAGGTCGTATCAAGGAGAGAAGATCATTAGTTCTTCTCAGAACTTCTTGTTGTTACATACTTCTGTCAGTAGATAGACTGGAATATTTCAGTCAGTATAGTGGCTGATTGCTGATCACAGTGACCCCGAGATCATAGGCGGTCTTCACCGCTCGAACACTGGGATTGTGGGTTCGAATCCCGCTCGATGCATGGATGTCTGTGTGCTGATAGCTGCCTTGCGACGGCCTGACTCCATGTCCAAGTAGTCCTACCATCTGTGTATAAAGGTAAGAAAAGTAGAGCTGTCCCTGTAACAGGCCGTGAAGGCTCATAGAGTTGTGAGAGGTCGAGGTTGCTACATTTTCTAGACAATTGGTTGACAGATGGCGGTAAGGTTGTCAGACTTACGTGCCGATCTCCCTTTACCCCCCAGGAAGATTCCTCGTACTCATTTCTGTTAGAGGCTGAGTCGACCCCAGTACCACAGTACGACTGGAAGAATTAGGTTAATTTAAATATTCCAGTAACCTCATGGGGAATCAACCCGCGACCTTGCGTCTTATAGCACAGTGCCGTGCCCCGCTGAATGTTTATAGATTAAGAAATTGAAAAACTCTCAGGGTCATAACAGCCGTAGAACCATAAGTAGATAGATAGATAGATAGATAGATAGATAGATAGATAGATAGATAAATAGATAGATAGATAGATAGATAGTGGCTGATTACAGCCTGTCGTATTGGAATTCGGCTATCGATAAGGACAGGTATTACTCTCTTCGACATGACAACCAATACTGTTTTGAGTGCCACCGAGCCTTCTGTGCAACGAGTTCTGAGAGATGTGGAGCCAGTATCAAGCCTGCCGGATGGCGAAACTTACCACGGTCCTCCATTTGCATCGTAGTGGCGAAGTTATTAACATGTTGTTCTGTGCGTTCATCCCTCCATCGTGGTGTTTAGTTAAGTGCAAAGACAGCTTTATCTTATATTCATGTGTTTGCAAAAGAAGAGCGGGTTGTTTGGAGTATCTGTATGGCGGTAGAACGTTGTCTCATAGCTTCACGGATGAACACCAACTAGATCACAGGTGTCTGACATTTGGAGACCCACGAAAATATAGGGTAGTTGGCCCAAAAGACAAGCAAAACAGAAATGTAATCGGTCTGTAAATATACTGACAGTACACCCTGATTTAGCTGGGACAGTCCCTGATTTTTGCATCTTATCCCTGTCGGTTGATTTATTAGAATTGAAGAAATGACGTTGATTTCAACTTTAAACCGTCACTTAAAAGAGACTTTGCCCCCCGAGTAAGTTATTTGTCCTGAAACAGCCTCTTGTAGTTGGCGAGAACAGAAGTTTCGTGTAATGATCTCAGGATATTTACCAGTGACGGGATTTTGTGAATATAGTAATGAACTTTCGGGTTCCATAAAATACTAATATTTTCTTTAGTAGCTGAACACTGTTGGCTTCCCAAGAAATACTGAGCTCCATGGAATTATATGATTCGGAAAGAAACGTGCTCGTGACTTAATCGAGGTCCTACCCAGGCATTTGTCTGGCAGGACTGAACAAAACCACGAAATATATTAGGATAACGGTGTCCCGGCCGGGAGTCGAATCAAGCACTCCCAGAATACAAATCTAAAACCTTACTGATATAGAAATCTGCGAATTTTTTTCGTTTTTAAAAGCAAATTTATTATCGGTTTTCACCATATAAATTGTTTCTCCCTCAAGAAAACTCCGTGGCTTTAGTCCGCAAGCGAACTATACCGACCGAGCAACCGCCACTTGTCGGTGAAGTTAGTGCCAAGTTTAGCGGATAGAGAGTGTCGCGTGGTCAGCGCAGTGATTCCCCACTGCCGTTAATTTCGGTTTTCTAGACCGGAGCCGCTATTTCTTTGAAATAGCTCATCAGTTATCCTCACGAGGCTGAGGGGACCCCATTCCAGACCTACTACTTCTCAGAAAATCTGTTAGCGCCGGAAATCGAACCCGGGACCACTGGATCTGTAGCCAGGAACTCTGACCGCTAGACCACATAGTGCTTCTCCCTACTCCCCTCAATTCTCTTTCTCCCACCCTTCCTCGCTACAGTCTGCGCCAGTTTTTCTGTCGGAAAATACGGTCATCCTCTTCCTACCACAAGAGGGCCACTGTGCAAGTCATCTAATACTCTTAGCAGAATATAATCAAGGAAATTTACGGTATGCTGGTCATTTAGCACTCGGAACAGTGAAGATTGTGAAGGTCTACAGAATTCTGGCGAGGAAAACTATAGGAAAGAGGTCATTTGAAAGACGAAGAAGAAGATTGGAAGATAAATTGAATATGAATGGTTCATGGCTATAGCCGACGGACCATACTGGGAATTCCAGCAAGTCACGCAGGTTTGTTCCCGCTTGTGAACTAATTATCACTGCTCTCATTTCATGTCCTAGATAAACGCTTTACTAATACACCCAAAATGTGATTAGCCAGAATAAATTAGCTAGCTGTCTGTCTGTCTGACTGACTGTTTTAACGTAGTTAAGAGCTAACTTCGTAACTAACATTCTAACTTGCCCACCTAATGACAGACTAACCACAACCCGTACTGTTTATTACGCAACCTAAATGCTCAACTGCCGGTCACGGTAGCCGAGCGGTCTAAGGCATGCACTGTCTTCGCTCGCTTGGAAATCGGGATCGGGGGTTCGAATCCCACTCAGGTCATGGATGTTTAGTTTGTGTGTGTGCGTTTTTCTGTGTTTGTGTACAGGTAGAGGCTTTGCGACGAGCTGATCACCCGCCCAAGGAGTCCTACCGAATGTGTAAGATCTAGAAAAACCGAAGTGAACGGAGAAGTTCATGGAGGAAGGCCTAGGCCCACTGGGGCTGTAGTGCCATGGAAA